CTGCTTGCGTCCTATACACCGAAGGTATGAATAATATATATGTATATATTTGTTTGTTTGTTTTGAATTTCGAGCAAAGCTACACGAGGGCTATCTGCGCTAGCCGTCCCTAATTTAGCAGTGTAAGACTAGAGGGAAGGCAGCTAGTCATCACCACCCACCGCCAACTCTTGGGCTATTCTTTTACCAACGAATAGTGGGATTGACGGTCACATTATAACGCCCCCACGGCTGAAAGGGCGAGCATGTTTGATGGTATGCGGATTCGAACCCGCGACCCTCAGATTGTGAGTCGAGCGCCTTATCCACCTGGCCATGCCGGGCTATGAGAACAAATAACAATAACAAATAGAAATAACAATTTTGAACAGTTACAGTTGTGGAAGCTATTAGTTTTAGTCTCACTTAAGCAGGTTTAGGATATATGCTATTTTATTAGAAGCTATGCTATTATACTATAAGAAATACTATACAGTCATGGAGTTCTTTCACATAATGTTTAAACATTTCATGAAACCTCATATAAATAATATGAGATCTAAGCATTGCATACGTATATATAAGCACACACTCGCACACACATATAAATATTGATATATCTATGTATACAGAGAAACACATTTTTAAGATTACAAAAACGCAGTCGTTTTCGTAGGGATTGAAATATGTAGAGAATGTCAATACTAGCTTTGTAAATTAATACAATGTAAAATCTCCTGCCGAAAGAACCTAAACAACTAGAATATATTTCATGGCCAACCACATTTTCTGCTAAGAAACTCACTGACACATAGATTAATAGGGTTGAAGTGTATGCAATATGCCAAAACGTAGTATGTTTGAAAAAGCTTTGATGAATTGATAGAACAAACACATTTATAGATTGCCTAGGATGGTCAGAAAGTTATGTTGGGCATGTCAAGGATCCATTTATTAAGATTACAAAAATTAAACAGAAATCATAATTCTAACTAATTTACGAAGACTTTACCATATCCAGTGTGGACACATCTGAATAAGTACTACTTATGACAATTTCGATCATTAGTAGCAAATATTATGAAATGATGAGAGTCAGTTAACTTAATTTCTAAGTGATGACCAAATGTAGATCTGGATACAGGCAATTGAACAACTGAATTAAGATTAGGTTGTGACAAATGTGAATAATTTTCCTGGGTGAGATTCTGAACAATGAGCAAGTAAAATATCCATGACATGTATGATCACTTAATTGTCTGTTACTTCTAAAGAAAGTGGTAGAGTTTACTGGTCATCAGTTCGATATGTTATTCTATAAGGATATTCTCCTTTGACACAGAAAACATACAACCCATGTTGGTATCAGAGTAACGGTATCAACATCTTAGAAGAATCTGTCCAGATCTTAACCCTGTTGGGACCATCAGCATTCTAGTTCTCTTCAACTGGCTGAGTTTTGGAAAGAAAATTGTTGACAGTTGGAACCTACTTAAAAGAATGGTTTTTTTTTAAAAAACCAACAATTATTTCGGCCATGCAATGGTACAGCGTATTAGAACACCAGTCACAAGGGTTCCTAAGATGTCATAACACTTTATTTCATCACTGTTGGGTTTGTATTACTGTAATATTTAATGTATATAATGCAATAAGAAAATATCAGAATGAGTAAAAATAATAAGTTTTTGTTTCATAATGTACAAATGTCATGTAATATATAGGATACTTTTATAGACTGAAAGTTTGACATTTGTAGTTTTGCATAAAGTGTATAGATCACAGATAGAGTAGCCTATTACCTCTGTTGAGAACTGTGAACGCGAGAATACTTTCAACTGATGTCATTTAAAAGTTTGTATAAACACGAATAAACAAATTCATTTAACAAATTTTAATTTCTGATATAAAGTCGTGCATTATCCTCGGGACATCGTAATTGCATTATTTTTCTTTACAACTATAGGATAACTGATCTATGACTGATAGAGAAAACAAAAATGAGGTTTAGCGTTTTCTCTCATTTTATACATAAACATAACAGTTTTTTATTTATTATCGAATCATATTTTTAGATCAAAACATAAAAATTTATATTCTATATTACAAATAAAACATTGTCTTGTTTCAGACACTAATGTTTCTAATAACAATGAATATGTTTATATAAGTACTTTAGTTCAAAATCATTTATTTTGATGAAAGACGGTGTTTAAACATATACTTCTAACGATTATGCTATAGTAGGTATATGGGCACATTAATGTTTGTTTTTTCTGAAATGACAATTTCTCATATTCAAAAATATGATATTTGTACATCAATTATTTGACACTAACGAGCTGACATTTCAGTTTGCATCAACTGAAAAATTTGTATCTACTTTCTCTTAGGATAATTTACAATAGTTTATATTTGATATGTCACGTACGATTTTTCTTGAATATTTAGTAATTACGTGCAACAACTTGAGCCAGCTGTTCTGTGGCTGAGGTAATACGTTTCTATATATATATAATTTAAAAATCTGACGAAAATTGTTTAACCAAAGTTAATGAAAAAGTGATTTGTCAAAAATGTAACATAAATTGGAAAGGCAGTGTATGAGAATGTTTGTTTATGTTACTTTAAACCTAATTCACACTGTTTTAATGATGCATAAAAAAACAAGGTATTAAATAGTGCCTCATAGTGGGGTAAAATCAAAAACATATTTTTATTATATCAAATTAGAGAGGTAACCAAAGTTTTGATGTTTGACAAACAACAGTCACTTGAGCACAGTTAATAGTGGCCTTTAAAATGTGAACACGTCTTAAGAACAGGTGAGTATAAAGGGTCAATCGAATTTTATAAAAAACATTTTTCTAGAAATCAAAGCATGCCCCTGGACCCGCAAAGTGGCACCCCCCAAAAAAAACAAGGTGTACCAAAACAACACATTTAATTTAATTTCGGTATACCATTTTTTGGGAGCCACCCTGTACTTACTCCATTGTCGCTCATGCTCAGTCTGATTACCATAATTACGTATTATGCATTGATATGATACAACAACTTTCATTGTAGCATTCTTCTATTGTGATATGCATATCGCATGTTTTCCACCCGCTTTAGTACTATAGGATTTTATTTTTAGTTTTAGTTTAATCAGTTTGATTGCTGTTTTAGCATATAAATGTGGTCTAAAAAGTCGTTGAGGTTGCCTTGCTTCTTTGTTCTCTATAATAGATAATGTCTATTCTGCCCAAAAGGATATTACAGTAACATATATCATCGAGGTTGAAAGGATTAGCACCGTAAATCTTTTGCTTGCCGAGTTGACGCTGTCTAAATGTAACAGCAGACCAATGTTGTGAGAGAATATAGGTTTGAGGTT